AAAATAGGTCTCCAAAAACCACATAGATATTGTCAATCAGAAACTCAAGCATCTTTTTGATGTCAACGTCAGAGTACTTGTGTGTGCAATCAGAATGTGTTTTAACAAAATAATTTTGCAAATGACCAATGACCAGGTAAGTAAATTTACAAGTTCCATTTTTATTGAAAAAGCAGCTGTCAATGATATAAAAAAGCCTGGACTTTAATTTGTCGTGAGGAATGGTTGTGTATAAAGTTGAAAAGTAGTAAGTTTTTAAGCTGTTGATTTTGGTAAAATCTTGTAATTTCAAATTGTCCAAAAGTTTTTTGGAATTTTTTAGTATCCACATGTGATTTACACCACTTCTTGAATATATTGTTGCACAGTACTCTTGAAGTTTTTCCTTCACTTTGATATTGAATACTGTTCGTTATCTCCATATCCTTCATGTATTATAATAAAATTATTTCCCGTCAAACGTAACATCAAATTGTAGGAAAAAAAAACATTTTTTTTCAGTCAATATTCACATCCGCAAAGTGTTCCCTTTAATGACAATACCTTTCGTCAAATAAAGAATTTAAACATGTGACCAACTTCATGTAATATCCCAATGATTAAAGTATCAAATCTATATGTTATCTCTTAAATGAAATGATGCGTTACAATCAAATTTAAATTTATTTGGATATATTTGGATCCAGTTCCTCGGAAATTTCTAACATGTGGTTCTCTTGAGGTGTTAATAGATATGTCACAATGAGATCTAGTGAATTCGGGGGTAGCTAAGACTTGTACCTGTTCTTTTCTCCAAAATGTGCAATAAACCTCTAACCTCACTTGCAACAACGTTTTCATATATACTTAGCATCTAAGAAATAAGGTACCCATTGGACAGAAATATGTTTTAGATTCATCTATTGTGTGTTTCGCCAGATTTTTGTAATGAAGTGAAGTTTCACATATGCCTTCATTTTCATTTACTTGGCAGGGACCGTTTTTGAGAAGTATACTATTATCACTTGTATATAAGGTGCTTATGTTTCGAAAATTTAATTAAAGCAGGTTTCTAGCAAATAGGTGTATGTTATATGGATGTCAACAAACTCCTCTGTATTCAGTTTTTCATACATTCTAACGTGAAAAAAGGAAGCTCGTTGGCTGTAACCAGTCTATGGGAATGCCTGGTATTCCACGGAACCTTATCCAACTTTGCTTTTCAGATGTGTTTGGGGGTGGGGGTGGGGGGGCATATTTGCTTTGTCCCCTATTTGTTCGAATTCTTTATTTAAGCTGGGTTACTGGAAGAAAACTTTGCTGAATGTTTTGGCTAGTCTATATGTACAATTGGTCTGGTTTAACGTTCTTTATCAAATAAGACTTCTAGAATTATAGATTTGAGATGTATTCTAAATATGGCATGTCAAACGTTGCAATATTTGATAATCTTGTGATGTATATTCAAAATCTTGTGATGTATGTTCGAAATCTTGTGATGTATATTCAAAATCTTGTGATGTATGTTCGAAATCTTGTGATGTATATTCAAAATCTTGTGATGTATGTTCGAAATCTTGTGATGTATATTCAAAATCTTGTGATGTATGTTCAAAATCTTGTGATGTATATTCAATATCTTGTGATGTATATTCTTAAACTTGTGATGTATATTCTATAATCTTGTGATGTATGTTCGAAATCTTGTGATGTATATTCGAAATCTTGTGATGTATGTTTGATAATCTTGTGATGTATATTCGAAATCTTGTGATGTATGTTCGATATCTTGTGATGTATATTCGAAATCTTGTGATGTATATTCTATAATCTTGTGATGTATGTTCGAAATCTTGTGATGTATATTCGAAATCTTGTGATGTATATTCTATAATCTTGTGATGTATATTCAATATCTTGTGATGTATGTTCAAAATCTTGTGATGTATATTCAATATCTTGTGATGTATATTCGAAATCTTGTGATGTATATTCTATAATCTTGTGATGTATGTTCGAAATCTTGTGATGTATATTCGAAATCTTGTGATGTATGTTTGATAATCTTGTGATGTATATTCGAAATCTTGTGATGTATGTTCGATAATCTTGTGATGTATATTCGAAATCTTGTGATGTGTGTTCTACGATTCAGTGATGCGTGCAATAAAATTGCATGACGCAACAGAAAAGTAAGGACAATTTTCATTGGTTAGAAATAACGAAAGTAGCCGGAGCGGTCGTAATGCACACATTGACACAACTTCGCAAGCATGAAATTGACGAATTCAACCTGAAGTCAAAATTACTGGTAATAGAAAAATTGTTTTGGTATCAAGAAGCACTAAGTCAGTCATAACGTGAAAAGTGGGAATCAAGAACATTAATTTGATTTGTTTGAAGGTACATCAAAAACGAGTGTGACTAAAATGGGTAGCGAAACCCGGGCCGGGCCGGGAATTTCAAAACTGAGAGCCGGGTTTTTGATAATTACGAGATAAATACTCATTCTTTCTTCATGAAATTTACAGACATAGTTTATAACTATAGGTTTTGCCTTCGCTGAGAATTTTAAGTCAAAATGTTGTGTTTTTCGATGATTATCGCCGATTGTCCTTTTCCAGGTGACTAAAATGGGTAGCGAGCCCGGTTTACTCATTTTGGCGATTTTAAGCTTAATGCATCGAAAGTGTTTGTGATATTTGCATTTAATGGTTGTTTATTAACTTCAAATAGTTAAATTGTTCAATCATAATGAAATTAGATGTCGATTATTAGGGTTTTTGTCATTTTTCATACAACCGGGACAGGTCAAAACCGGACGCGTTTGCCCGGGACAAACTTAATAATTCCGGATTGCTAGAGAAAGAATGTAGATTTTTTTCAGTCCTTGACCGATATATCTAAGAAATAAATTGGAAAAAAATTAATAAAAATATGCAAATAAAAAAAAGAGTCATTTATATTTCAATTATATGTCATCTCTGATAAGTATTTCGGAAATAAAAGGTTTTTCCCGGGTGAACGTGTCCGGTTTCGACCAATCCCGGGTGTTCAAAAAATGCGTATATTTTCAATAATCGTGATTTATTACTGGAACAGTTAAATGTTTTAGGTAGTTAAAGTTCAATTCCAAAGATCCAAATGAAATACTTGTAAATATGCTGCCGAAATTAAGTTTAATCCGCCAAAATGAGTAATCCGGGCTCGCTACCCATTTTAGACACTTGGAAAAGGACAATCGGTGATAATCATTGAAAAACACAACATTTTGACCTAAAACTTTCAGCGAAGGCCAATCCTAGAATAATAAACTATGTCCGTAAATTTCATGAAGAAAGAATGAGTATTTATTTCGTGATTATCAAAAACCCGGTTTTCGTTATCGAAAATCCCGGCCCGGCCCGGGTTTCGCTACCCATTTTAGTCACACTCTCAAAAACAATTTAGTGGCTTATTGCTGGACTAAACAGCTAAAGGATGTTTTATCCTATTTTTACGTCCTCATATTGTAGTGATGTTGATTAATCGGTATGATTTATTCTATATTGGTGCTAGTTAGAATAATCTAACTGTGTCTCGGGACAAACTCTCACCACGCAGGGTTCGAAATTGCATGGCCCATTGCAGCTGCATTGACCGTAGCCCTAGTCCAGGGACGACTTTGCAATAAATAAATAAATAACACGACAAATTTTTAGGAGAAGGGGAATGTCTGGAAAAGATTAATTGCTATGCATGATTGAATATTGTCATTCACAAATTTGTCCAATTATTTTTATAGTAAATGTATTGAGCCGGGCTCATTTACAGGATAATGAACAAGGACTGTGGTGACAGTTTAAAATCATGTTCAGACGTTTAGAGAATATGTAATACACACAAAAATATCTCAATGGCATGTATAATATTAAATAGTTTTAAAAATAAAATAAAATATAGCTAGAAATTAACAGCGAAAAATATTTATCACGTATTGTGTCGGGGTAATCCGGCTTTATATACAAACAGAAGTAAATAAACACCGATGCAGCAAGATTAAGGTCAAACGTCTCTGCACTGATGTGTCCTCAGCGGGGAGATTTGCATTAAGTCATTAATGATGTTCCCTGCATTTGTGTTAGCCTGATAGTACAACCTTTATTTATAGAATCAATCTAATTCAAATTAGATGTTAGATCCGCTTGCATACTCGCTACACTAACATCTAACAACATCCCGTTGAGGGTCACGTCAGAGGTCAAATTCTATCAATTAATCAAATCGCAGCTGGCAAAATCATCATATATTGTTGAAGCGAATAAATCTTGAGGCGTTCCGAATTTAACCTCTTACGTGACCCTCAATGGGATGACTTGTTAGATGTTAGTGTGGCGAGTATGCGAGCAGATCTAACATCTAATTTTAATTATATTGTTTATAGAATATGATGCAGACAGGGATACCTGGTGAAAACCTTTCGCACCCGTTGAATTATACTTTGTAAAATATTAGTCAAAGGAGCCAGGAAAAAATATTAAACAATTTAATATTATGATAAAAATATTCAATTTACTATTTCTTAAGGTGTTGAATGGATTTTGTTTTCTCAACAGCGGCTGGTGCACGTACCATACTTTTACTCGTAAACTCAATTTGGCGGTGAAGAAGCAGCATTTTCTGTTGCTCACCGTCGCAATAGCTGAGCATTGCTCTACGAGCAATGTGCCCGGCTAAAAATCATAATATTTGTAATGATATATCATATTCTAGACTTGACATACAATAAACAATGATAAGAATTATTGTTGCATATCTGCAGTGATTTTCTTTGATCTTTCTGTGGTGATAATTTATCCCATAATATCACATGTGTGATAATACTTTCCAAACATGTTTCAAAGTTTTTACACTCTTTATCATACAGTTTTAAAGAACAGTTTTATGAGCTCATAAGTATATTAAATGGTTAATTTATCAAAACCTGCATTTAAAAATTCAGAAGTCTTAAGTTAAACCAAATTGTCCAGGGTATTCTAAGTAAGGTATGTCAAAGGTCATGGTTAAGTGACTTTGTAAGGCTGGTATTTTTTCTTTAGTTTTATGGCAATCAGTGCACATGGTAAATAGCATAAAATTACCCTTAAAGGTCTTATGCAAGGAGATAGCTAATTAAAATGAACAAATGTAGTTCTATGTATGATGTATATAGAGACAATAATATTTCTTTTCTTTTTTCATTTTCAGGAACTTTACGTAGGTCTACAGTTTTAATTTTGGACTCATGCACTAGGAATATCATATCAGCAGAATTGTGCCACTGAATCAAAGGGAACTCTTTTTTTTTAGGTACGCATGATCGATGTAACTTCCTCGATGGTGTGTTGGCTGTTTGCCCATGTGTATTTCGGGGTATAGGTATGTTTAGTCTCAATTTTCTTTCTTAAAAGCCGCATAAGGGGTATATTTTTTCTGATCTCAAATTTTGTCTAAGCATTAATCTTTTTTCTCATTCATGAATTATCTGCTGAGAGTCTAGTTAATTAATTTATTTAATTAAAGCTATATAGTAACATATAGTGAAATTATTTCCTTGTGTGAGACCTAAAGAAAATCAGGTTACTCATTTTTATGACAATTTCTTTGATTTCAGGAGTAGCCTCCCCTTTTAAAGATCAAAAATGGTGATTTTACAGTGCGGCATGCAGTCTGGTCTTCAACGAAGAGTTTTGACACCTGTAATACCCATATTTCTACCATTCACCTCTGTAACCTTTGTTGAGTTCATCAGACTGGTAAGAAAAACAATATTGTTAATTGAAATAATTTTATCAAGATAAATAAAATAATTAATGAAAAAAAAATTACATGAACACTGACTCCCTCATATAAGAAAATGTCACATTTTACACATTGCAATTATACATCATTTACATATTCACATTTTCCCCATTTACACATGCAGTTGAATAGATTTAGTGCTTAATAATACATAGCAACAATTATTACACGAATCCTAAGACAATTCACAAAATACATGAATGCATTAAACTGTGAAATACAGATTTCGTACATTTAATTAAACTGCACAGCATCAGAACCCCCCCCCCCCCTTCACAATCTTGCAACTTTCTTTTTAATTCAAAGTCACTAGGCAACACTAAAGATTTCCACTTATTGCTTTTCTGTCCAAGACAGGAAGTTGAGGAACAAAGTTGACAGGACATCCTGAACTGTCTTCGCTACCAGCTTATGAGGGAACCAGCTGCAGTGGACAAAGTATGTTACATCATAGGATAATAGGTAAGTCTCCGGAGTAGTGTTTGTAGCAATTCTCGTACTTGGTCCTGCATCGAAGATTCAGGACTATTGATATTTATCTTTGCTTGGTTTGGTTCTTCCCAGAAACATGTTACTGGTGGTGGTCCCTATATTCTTCTGGCTTTTGTGGTGAGGAATGTTTCATTTCTAGCTCTTTTCTGATCACATTTTGTCTATCTAGCTGTTTGTCTGTCTGTCTGTCCATCTGTCTGTCTGTAAACTTTTCATATTTTCGACTTCTTCTCTAGAACCCATGGACCAATTTCAACCAAACTTGCCACAAAGCATCCTTGAGTGAAGGGGATTCAAGTTTGTTCAAATAAAGGGCCACACCCTCATTCAAGGGGAGATAATTGGGAATGAATGTAAATTTGATGGTATGTTTTAAAAATCTTGTTCTCAAGAACCACTGTGCCAGGAAAAATGAAACTTATGGAGAAACATCCTCAGGTAGTGTAGATTTAAATTTGTTCAAATCATGACCACCGGGGGGAGGGCGGAGCCACAATGGCTGACCAAAGTTTAACATAAAAATATATATAGGAAAATTCTTTAAAAATCTTCTTCTCAAGAATGACAAAGCCATAATTGATCCTATTTATATGGAAGCATCCTCAGGTAGTGTCGATTCAAGTTTGTTCAAATCATAACCCCCGGGGTAGGGCGGGGCCACAATGGAAGATCAAAGTTTTACATAGAAATATAAAGGAAAAATCTTTAAAAATCTTCTTCTCAAGAACAGCAAAACCCTGATTGATCATATTTATATGGAAGCATCCTTAGGTAGTGTAGATTCAAGTTTGTTCAAATCATGTCCTCGGGGGTAGGACGGGGCCACAAAGGATGATCAAATTTTATATAGAAATATATAGGAAAATTCTTTAAAAATAACCTTCTCAAGAAAAGCAAAGCCATGATTGGTCAAGGGACTACTTTTGGATTTAAACTTTTCAATAAAAAAACAATTTTTACTTTTTCCTAGCCACAGTGCTCAGGTGAGCGATGTGGCCCATGGGCCTCTTGTTTTTTTTTTTTTTTTAAAAATGATCAATCATTAAATATAAATAAATCAGTTGTTAAAAAATTTGCTTCATATTTGAAGTGCCTTAAACCGACCCTCTGATGAAAGTGACCAGTGTTTTTTGCACCTTGGAAGGTTTATTGGTAAAATATAAGAAGGAAGTTATGATTTTGGTGTTACTATTGTTGTTATTTAAGTTTGATTCGATTTTTATATTACGAGTATTATGAAACTGTTATTTTGTTACTGACCGATGGTTAATTTTAATTGTGAACAAATGTACAAAGATGAGGAGTATAATATAGTTGGCTATGTATAATGCCCAATTTTTGAACATACTATGTAATAAATATTAATAACAACCTTTGAATAATTGGAAAGACAATATTATAAATATGATAGCATTTTTGTACATGAGCATACATTTTTGAAAGGAAAAATAAATTATTCAATTGCATTAAAAAAAATATTTTGTTTCATATTCTTGTGAATTATCAGATCATTCTTCTATTATTTAAATACTCTGTCATTATGAAACCTTGTTAATAATTAAGTAAATATTAATTGTACATTTGCACCAATTTTTACATGGCATTTTCACACTAAGAATGCCACGTGCAAAATTATATACAGGAACAATTCTGAACAAATATATGCAAGTGAGTTGTAAATTTGATATGTAATGCATACATTACAAAAACCCATGACAGTGTTCACTAAAATGAAATGTATGGACTCTTATATAAATACTTGGTATATGTGATATGGATATTATGGATGATATTTTTGAGAATGACACAAGTAATGAAATTTTTCAGCATTGAATTGGATTCTTGAACCAGAGCCATGTGAACCTGGTCCACCTGTACCTCTCATTGAAGACCTGTTAACATCACCAGAGTATGTTCATTCTGATACCCCTATGGTATGGTTACAGCATGCATTATCCCTGAATCCATTAAAAGAGCTGCATTGGCAATGAAACAACCCATTGTGGTCGATTGTAAGGAAACATAGCATATCAGCTTCCAACTTTGGTGCAGTTCTCAGTTCTAAGCAAAGGCGGTAAGACGTGTGATTAAATTTTTGCGAAATAGACTTTTAAAATTACAGTCAAACTTTGTTATCTCAAACCCATTATCTCATATTTCATGGATATGTCAAAGTAATTTTGAAGTCCAAACCATTTATAAAAGACTGGGACATTTTATTCTTGATACTGTATAGGGGGAAAATAACTCGCGGTGTTAATATTCGCTATATTCACGGTGTTAATAAATCCGTGAATTCAAGAAACAGTGAATAAATTTTCAATAATCTCCATGCTTTATTTGGAAATTTGAGAATAGACTACGATAGGTTGACTACGACAGGTTGATATACATGAACATGCAGTATATGGTCGTTTCAGTAATTACGAGTAGTACTCGTCATTCAATTATTTTAATTATCACGCTTTACTTTAATTCAAATCGGCAGATAATAACTCGTGTTTGTTCAAAAGCTGTTTTAATAGCCAACGCTACATGTTTCATCAATCAAAACACGTGGGCCATGGGTTTTGATTACCCGTGCGTAACTAATTTTACCACGTGTATTTGTTACCTGCATTATCATGCATATTAGTTTTTATCAACATTTTGGTTTTAAAAAATCATCCAAATAAATATCGAACTTACTGAAGATGTGGAAGATATTATTTCGGCGAACTACGTAAACATATTTACTTCCTTCCAGTGGTTTTTCGCCGCGTTGTATTGATGATCTTGGGTGCACATGCACTCATCGTAATACCATATAGAAAAGGCATTTGACGTTTAGAGTGTAGGACTTTTAACAACTGCACTTGTTTTAATTAATTATCAATTTAATCTATCAATTTTATATAAACCTACCCTGTTGTTCGTGAAATAAAAACAACGCTGAAGAATGTCGTTTACATGTAGCTATGGTATGGATTAAACGAATATAGACAAGGGAGGTAACTTTTATTATATACCAATTCCGCGAATTCAAGAAACCGCGATCGTGTCAGATGAGAGAAAAACGTGAAAATTACAACCCGTGAAATTAATCCCCTATACAGTAACTCTTTATGTATTATTCTTGAATCCACGGATATTTCCAACATTTTTCTTGGTCTCATTGAGTTTGAGATAATGAGGTTCGACTGTAATGACTAGATATTTGTACATAAAGATGCAGGAAATATAAGATTAATAACCAAAAATCATATTTTCTTCTCCAGATTGACATTGTCACTGAAGAAACAGCTGATGTCGGCTTACAATCTGGAGTCCATCAAGGCTGTTGCATGGGGTATCACTCATGAAGATGATGCTTTGAGAAAGTATGAAAAGGACTTTGATGCAGCTGTAGAGCAGTCAGGTATACAGCACAAAATAACATTCATTCAACCTCTGACATGTTAACATTCAATGTGTCAAAACAAATAACAGGACTTATCCTGGTAAAAAAACAGAAATCAATTACTGAAGTCTAATTGTAAAAAAAAAAAACTAGAAATATGTCCATAGGACATGAATGCCCCGCCGAGGATATATTAGTAAAGCAACATGAAATTTGTACATGTATAAAATTTGATCAGTTTGGTTCAGGCAGGGCTTATAGTTAGTTGGGAATAAAAATGTAGGTCCAGCATCCAAAGCAAGTCTGGTAGTGTCCATCCCTAGATGCATCATCCATGCAAGTTTGGTTCAGGTAGGGTTTATAGTTACTTGGGAATGAAAATATAGGTCAGATCCAGCATCCGAAGCAAGTCTGGTAGTGTCCATCCCTAGCTGCATCATCCATGCAAGTTTGGTTTAGGTAGGGCTTATAGTTACTTGGGAATGAAAATGTGAGTCAGATCCAGCATCCGAAGCAAGTCTGGTAGTGTCCATCCCTAGATGCATCATCCATGCAAGTTTGGTCTAAGTAGGGCTGATAGTTCCTTAGGAATAAATCTGCTCCAAAAACTTCAACCTGGTCACTCCTCTGGAAAATGTAGGTCAGATCCAGCATCCGAAGCAAGTCTGGTAGTGTCCATCCTTAGATGCATCATCCAAGCAAGTTTGGTCTAAGTAGGGCTTATAGTTCCTTAGGAATAAATCTGCTCCAAAAACTTCAACCTGGTCACTCATCTGGAAAATGTAGGTCAGATCCAGCATCCGAAGCAAGTCTGGTAGTGTCCATCCTTAGATGCATCATCCAAGCAAGTTTGGTCTAAGTAGGGCTTATAGTTCCTTAAGAATGGACCTGCTCCAAAAACTTTAATTTGGTCACTCATCTGGAAAATTTAGGTCAGATCCAGCATCCGAAGCAAGTCCGATAGTGTTCATCTCTAGATGCATCATCTATGCAAGTTTGTATCAACATGTAAAGTTTGATAACACCATCTTGAATGGTATATTTAAAACAGAGCTAAACACTATTTAAGAAAAGTCAGGTCAAGGTCAAAGGAAAGGTCAAGGTCAAAAAATGTTGATGCAGTTGCATAGCTCTCATCAATATCTATCAGCATATGAAGTTTGATGAAAATATCTTGGATAGTTTCTTTGAAACTTAGCTTTGAACAGAGCTAAACACAAAGTGGGACGGAAGGACAGAAGACGGACATGACAAACACTATATGCCCCGGCCATATTCATGGCGGGGCATAAATATTCAGTTACCAACATATTCCAGAAAATTTGCTTTTTGAAGTAGAAGGATTATAAAAGCTCTACTTAGACTTTGTTTGCATTACAAAATCAATTGTATTATGGTTTGTTTGCATTCAGTAGTATTATAATTTTTTCTGGAAAGGATATGGTTGCATGAATCCGGAGTGTTGGGAGCTTCACCTGATGGCTTAGTTGTTCGACCACCAACATGCAGTGTATTTTATCAAACTCCAGAAGCCAAAGACGCCATTCCTGATATTGTAGAGGTGAAGTGTCCATATACAGCATCGTCTTCAACAGTAGCAGATGGGGCACAAAATTTGAAGGATTTTTCATAGGTAAATAACATTAAAAATCTGTATTGTCCAGTACTTTGAAATTAAAAATCTTGGTGAGTAAATGATTTCAAAACATGTATTAATTTACAAGTGCAGCTGTTCAATATGGTATGAAGATATTGAAAAAGGAGGGGATATGTACTGGTATGACACAACTTAAGTGTTTTTTGATTTTTTTTTAGATCTTAAACAAGATACCCTGTGCCTGAAAACCAGTCACCCGTACTATCATCAAATTCAAGGCCAGCTACGCATATGTAACAAAACATTCTGCGACTTAATTGTGTGGACAAGAGTAGACTGCATTGTGATTAGAATAGTAAAAGACATTGAATGGACAGCAAATGTTCCAAAGCTGATAGATTTCTACATTAACATTTTCATTCCAGCACTGATGGAAAACTGAGTTCTGGTTTGAACTTCTTGACACTTAGTTTTGTACCTCTAGAATTTTCTAACAATGGAAAATGGGTAATCATGTTAAATGTGTTGAATGTTCCCAAGTCTCATAAATGTATGATTTGATATGTCACAATCCAATGAATCCATCATAAAACTTCTGGCTTATAAGACTATTTTAAATAGCAATGATGATTAATAAAATCTATGTACTACATAAAAAAAGAATATCAAAATTTAGAATCATTTTATTAATGAATTGAAGATGTTATTCTCAAATTGAAAATGTAACATTTTTGTCTTTCTTAATAGATAAATTGTTGAAAACATGAATTTGTTGAGTTGTGCTTTAAAGGTAAATATACTTTAAACTAGAGATTTAAAATTATAAGTAAACCCTCTTCCAAATTATATTGTCAAATGAAGAATCGAATTGCCAAACATTCTTGTAATAAATCCATGCTAAACAAAAGGGATTTTCATTTTCTGAAGTACATGTATTACAACATACTACAAAGTTAACAAATATAACCATTGACATTGATAACAAATCAAAATTTGCTTATCCCTTGCACTTTGGTATGAATATCTTCACTGTTTAGTGTATACTGTCACACGCCAATGCAAATTTATAATAAGTACATGTATCTTTAAGTAATTTCTTTCAAAAGTGGAGCTTGCAAGTTTACAAGACAAGAACAGAGTTGAAATATTTTTGTTGAGATTGGTCTGTAAGTAGATGGTATGTGACGGAGAATCTCGTAATTCTTTATCCTCTCGTTGGCTCTTTCCACATGAATAAGTGCTTTAGCAATCTTGTAACAGTGCTGCTTCTTGTATGGTAAACTGGCCTCGTGTCGATAAAAGAGCTTTTATAATTAAGCAGACACCCTGGGGCAACTGGTCATGAATGGTGAAACCTTTGACCACCAAAATAAGGTCTCCAGCTTTGAACTTTCGTAAAACTTGGCTGTGACGTACAATAGCTACATCAGAAGTAGAACCTGGGTACAGCATGGAGCAAAATGTAAGTGCACCATTTGGAGGCACGCAAGTTACTGCTTTAAAAGTATGGCAACTTTTGTACATACTGTAGGCCATGGCCTGATTATCCATATGTGTTGGGATGTCCTGGGTTGTTTCATTTGCATCCATGGATGCTCTAGCAGAGGAAAAATCCTCAAAAGATTTTGGCAGAGACCCTGAAAAAAAGTTGGAAAAAAATTAATTTGATTATTTGTAATTGTGTAAAAAAAATTGTGTTACAGTCAATCTTTCAAGAATACAATAAATTTAACTGCATTAAATTTTTGCAAGTCATTATGATAAATTTTAAAACAAACCTTTGCATTTAAGCCGACTTGGAAAACATTCTACGCTACATTCTACACTACGCCATCAGACAGCATCTTGTATAGGGAAAAGACCACTAATTATTTTCCCATAGAACTCCATACAAACCTTAGGCCCTCTCAGTACTTTACTATGACAATTTCAGAAAAATCTTTAGCATCATTTCAAACTTTGTTCTAAGCCCTAACAAAAAATACTGAAAAAAATATATGGTCCCATGGCGTTTATAGGTCAAAATTGCAGTTATTTTCAACTTATAGAGATTCGCAGTAAATAACACACGGCATAAAAAATTAACCCCCACTCCTAAAATCTTCCCTGGCATTTCTATAGTTTCTGTAATATTCCCTCATCCCATCATTTATTTCAAAGGTCATTAATTTTACTTTAAAATGAAAACAATTAAATACCTGATTTCAGCCAATGGCGTAACGCCTACCCATTCAGTATTCGGTTTAATGTTCCATAACAAACAAAGCCATGTGTGCATCCGGGGATTTGGTGCTCTCATTCCTATACTTACATACTTACCTGTCCCAGAATTAGTCAATTGTGGTAATTTCAAAGACTATACACCTACCTGTGAACATGTATGAAATTTGAGTCCTGTGACTTCAGTGTATTGGATACTGTGACCATCTCAAATGATGACACCTTACTGCTACCAGCACAATTCAAAGGAGTGAATGACGTCTGGGCCGGTGATGATATTTGGATATATTGGTGACTGTAATAAATAAAATATTTGTACAATGAATTGTTTTTGTGCTTTGATGTTAATAAAGTGATATTAAGTCAAAATTGAGTCAATAATTTCATAAAGGTGGATTCTACCCAGAATTAGGTAAAAAGCTCCAAAATTGGATAAATCATAGTTAATTAAGCAAAATTCAAAGGTTTTAAAAAGACTGATATAGAATTTTTTTATGCTTATGCAAAGTATATTTTTTAAGACTCTGATATACTAATTGATTCTTATCTAATCCCTCCTATTGCTTAAGTATGTACAAAAAAGTTTCCCCACCCCCCAGTGAAAAACACTTAAAGAAATAGCAGGTGCCCCCTTTTATTTTTGTTTACAATTAATTTAGACAAGTTTAAATCAATCCTTTTGATAACAAATCAAAGTTCAATGTCTGTAGTCTTATACATTACAATCAGAAGCTACTTTTTGAATTTTATTCTAAGAAAAGGAGAATTTAAATAATTTTTTTTAAAAATTAAAGAAAAGCAAAAACTGAACCCAAAATGTACTTTACAATAAGAGGCTGGAAAGTTAATAAATAAAATTTTTACCTGCAATGTACAGAAAACTGTCCGACAAAATACATCGGGTGGGTAGGGAGTCTCCATTTTCTTCTTATATAGAGAAAATGCCCTTGCTGATCAGAGACCTAAACTCCCAAATAATAACAAAATATGTTAACATAACAGTCAATCTAAGATGTTCATCCCTCAATGGCAACAAGTTTTTATTACAGTAACTGAAATTGTTAGGAAATAGGAAATCACAATTGGAATTCCTTTAAATGTACCTTCTCTTCGTTGTATTTAATATCGTGGATTGATATTGGCTTCCTTTTACTAGACTCTATTTTTAGGGCAAGCAATTCCTTTTCCAGTTGTATTTCTGTTGAGAGGCGCTGCATTTCTTGAGTACAGTTAAATGTGCAGGATGCTGAGTAGTTGTGCTCTGATATCAACTGAAAATATATTGTAAATCATGTACAGTTAAAAGAACTTTATATATTATTAAAAATTATTGAAAATGTTTCAGTGTTGGTCATTTGTCATCATTGGTGTTTTAAATGAGCTTTACTTTTTCTTGATATTGACATTTTGGTGCTTGTGGAATCTGCAACTGGTCCATCTGTGAAGATGACAGGGACTCCTCACTTTTGAGTTTTTTCCTCCTTTGTAAAATAATTAAACTTGAATTATTTTTTTATTCAGTTGTAAGCTACTCTGTTTATACATGTACCCTTTTAAAGATTTTTAGTAAAATATTCTCAATTAAACTCCACCCACCCACCATCCAAAAACAAGATGTCGGTCATATTTTGAAAAATAATTTCACCTTTTTGTACATTCAGGATCAGAGAAATCCATGGCCTTTCCTTCATTCCATGCAAAATATGCAGGGTCCCCCTCCTTCTTACCATCCTTAGTAAGTAAGTAAGTAAATTTTATTTAAAGTCGGCATTGTATACATACATAACAATAAACATGAGCTCTGTAGAGCTCTTAAACCGACTATCACAGTTAAAATATCACAGAAAGACGTTTATACATAAGTTATCATGCAAAAACACATGTACATATATACACATACAAAAATTATGACAGATAAAATGAATTTTAAGAATTTAACAATTTTAAGAGTTTATAGTTTCTTTAGAATAAGTTAAAGAAAATAGACAACTTGAAAAGCAATATGATTACATTAAGAGAAACAAAAATAAATATAACGTGAGTATTATAAATAAGTAAATAAAAGTCATATGATAGTACATGTAATAAAATTAAGCACTAAATTCATAAATTCAGATAAATCAGATAAAAATAACTAATTGTGTTATTAATAATATTAAAAATAAATAAATAAAAAAAAACCCCGATAATTGAATAAATTTGAAAGTTTAGGAAATTCAAAATTCACACAGACATAGCTAAACCAAATTGAGAACAAAGGAAATAATAAAAATAAAAATAAGTAATAATAATAATAATTTTAAAATAATTTATGTTCCTCATTAATACACATCCTGCCAAGTGATTGGGTCAGTCCCTACCTACATAGGCAAGATATGCATATTGTGAGGTTAAAGGAAAAAGAATGAGATAGGTGATATCATTAGAGAAAATGAAAGATTTCAAAAAAAAAAAAAAAAAAAAAAAAAAAAAAAAACTGTTTCTAAACATTGTCTCATCAGCTATGCAGCCCTACGCTGTGGTTTCTGCAGGAATTGCATTTGCATTTTTCCCCCGTCCATGTCTCTATGAAAGTTTTAAATTGGCTGAGGGTGGAAAGTTCCCTAGCATGATTTGGTAGAGAATTCCACAGCGTAGCAGCCGCATAGCTGAATGACTGTTTTCCATACCTAGTGGTTCTTGGCCTAGGTAATTCCAGGGTCTTTTGATATCTAAAATTGTATGTTGAATTTCGCTGTTGAACTAAATCTTGCAGGAATAGTGGGCATTGATTGTTAATAATTTTGAAAACTTCAAGGGCCATGGCTCTCATACGCCTGATTTTCAGTGAGGGGAGGTTTGATTTTTCTAGGAGCAGATGCGATCATTCTGATCTCCTGGTTGGCGATCAGCTCATCTAAAAATATACATTATACAAAGACTGAGTGAAGGAGAATTAACCCTTTGTGTGCGGGAACCCAATATATTGGGTCTGACGTCATAAACGCTACCGTGCGGGAACCCAATATATTGGGTCTGAGTTTGGAATTAGCACTTCGTAACATAAAACTTTGTATAAAACGTATAAATGAGTTGTGAATTACTAAAAATCTATCAATATGTATTATAAAACTACAATATATTGAAAAATATGTAATTAAGATGTGAAAATATGCGAATTATTTGTGAAATTGTGATTTGAAGTGAAGG